AGTTTAGCTGTAGCTTAGCTGTAGCTTAGCTTGAGCTTAGCTTGAGCTTGGTGTTACCTTCGCTTTAGCTTAACTGCAGCTGAGATTTAGCTTAGCTCTAGTTTAGCGTTAGCTTAGCTTTAGCTTAGCTTTAGCTTAGCTTAGTTTTAGCTTAGCGTTAGCTTAGTTTTAGCTTAGCTGTAGTTTACCTTCAGCGTAGCTTTAGCTTAGCTTTAGCTTAGCTTTAGCTTAGCTTTAGCTTAGCTTCAGCTTCGTTAGCTTAGCTTTAGCTTAGCTTTACTGTTACTACTAATGCTGCTTTCCTAGGAGCTCCAACTCCCAGGTAGGGTCGAACTGGGATACTTATATTAAGATTTACATATGTATACTAGCACCATCGCGCGCGCTTCGCGCGCGATCAAGTTGAGGGGAGGTGAGGGGGGTAAGGGGGGTCCTAATTGTGAGGGGGTGAGGGGGGGTCTGAATTGTGGTATGTTGTGCAAGAGTAGACAGGGGGGAACAGGAATTGAGCGATGTTCCTTCAGGTTGCCGTGCCTGGGCTGTGGGTTAGAAGTTTTCTGGATGCAGGCCACGGTCTGCTGGGATGCCTCTCGGGGTCTCCGTGCAAAAACAAGCAGGGGGAGTTTGGAAAAAAGAGTTATCAAGTTCATCTGTGTCAACTCATGGGATCATGGGATCTCGATTTCTACTGTGGTTTCAGGGGCAGCCAAGAAGACACGAAGACGACCCAAGAGAGTGCCAAGACAGCGCCAGAAAGTTCAACAGCATTCCCGAACCATCTTTGCATGTGACCCCGAAGTCTTGATGGGGCTCGGGATGAACTTGAACAAAAAGAGAATGACTGGATTTGTTTTTGTTCAAGTGGGTCCTCACATGTAGTGCGCAGGAATCGGGGGAGGCGTAACAGGCGTGCAGAGGGATCTTGGGAGGTAGTTTGGAGGCTTCTGGGGGGCTGTTTGGGGTTTGGGGGCCTCTTGGGGCCACTTGTGGCCCTCCTAGCGTTAGAAACTCGAAAACCAAGGACAAAAACATGAAAACCAGCGATGGTGGTGTCGTCGGGGCGGCTGCCTTTCCCTGACTTCGAGTGAATGAAGATGGCCAGGAGGTCGAAGTAAGCTGTTTTGGGAGCCTCGTCAGGGCTTTTTCGGCGTCTCTCAAGGGTCTGGGGTGTGTTGAGGGCCTCTGGGGGGTCCCAGAGGCCTCTGTGAGGTCTCCAGAGGCCTCCTGCTCCCGCTCTTGGGCCCATCTCGGGCCTGTCCTGGGGTGGGCTGGAGCTGTCCTGGGCGCCTCTTCGGCAGTCTTGGAGCCGTCTTGGCCCGTTTGGGGGCTGTCTTGGGGGCCTCTTCGGCGGTCTTGGGGCGGTCTCGGGGGCCTCTTCGGCCGTCTTGGAGCGTTGGAAGCATGGAATGGTGAGAAGGCGAAAAACATGGGAAAACCACAAGTGGCAATGAACGATGTTAGGTTCTCCGGGCGCCTCTCGGGGCTCTCTTGAGGCCTCTTGGAAGCTTGCTGGGCGCCTGGAGAGCCGTCCGAAGGCTACCTTCGGTTGCTTGGGAGCGTCTTGGGCGGTTCTTGGGAGAGCTTCTTGGGAGAGCCGTCCGAAGGCTGTCTTGGGTTGCTTGGGAGCGTCTTGGGCGGCTCTTGCACGTTCTGGGGGCTCCTTGGGGCCGTCTTGGGCTGTCCCTGGGCGTCTGGGGGGAGCTCCCCGGGAGGCTGGGCGGCGCAACACCGGGGGCGTTCCGCAGATGTCACGGGGAGGTGTGGGACCTTCAGGGGGGGGGGGTCTCGAGAATTCTCCTGTGGAGGCTCCAACAGAGACCCAAGATGGCCCCAAGAGGGCCCCGAAAGTTATGTACCAACCGAGGGCCCGGTGGTACATGATTGCCGTGGCCCTCCTTGGGCCTTCTTGGGATCTCCCAAGGCCGTCTTCTGGACCTTTTGAGGCCATCTCGAGGCTCTCTTGGGGACCTCTTCCGGCTCTGGTCTGGGGGCTCCGAGAACCCCCCCATGGAGGCTCCGAGAAATCCCCCAATGGAGGCTCCAAGAAATGCCAATGATGGCCCCAAGAGCGCCCTGGGCATTATGTACCAACCGAGGGCCTGGTGGTGCATAATTGTCGCGGCCCTCCTTGGGCCTTCTTGGGATCTCCCAGGTCAATATTTTGGACCGTTTGGGGCCATCCGGGGGCCTTCTTGGGCACCTCTTCAGGCTGTGCGGGCCCCGAGAAATCCCTCATGGAGTTTCCAAGAGAGGCCCAAGATGGCCCCAAGAGCGTTCCGGGAGTTATGCACCAACCGAGGGCCCAGTGGTACATAATTGCCAAGGCCTTTCTCGGGCCTTCTTGGAATCTCCCGGGGCCAGAGCCGTCTTTCGCACATCTGGAAATAATCAATAAACCTACTTTATTTTTCTGGGCGCCCTCTCTGGGACCCCAAGAGGACCCCAAGAGGGCCCCAAGAGCGCCCGTGCTGCTTTTTCCGGCAGGCCCCAGCAAGACCCCCAAGCACGCTCGACAAGAAGGCGCCGTGGGCACTTCCGGGCTCCTCCTCCTCCCTCCGCCGCCGGAAGGGGGCGGGGAGGGGCGGCGAGCGAGCGCGGGCAGGGGTGAGGGGCCCTCCCCCATCCCGCCGCGGGCGCCGTCGCCCTCGCCGTCCGTCGCCGCGGTCGCCGCCGTTCCGGCCGGCCGGCCTGCCGCCCCCCCCCGCAGCCCCAGTCGTCGGGGCACGACTGCTTTTTTCAATCCGCGGCCCCAGGAGGCCCCGACCCATCCCCGGAAACTGTCGCACCACCCCCCCCAAGCCCCGCGAAGCCCCCTGGGGCCCCAGGGGCCCTCCGAGAGGCTCTCGGGGCCTCCAAACCGACGCGCCTTGGGAGCCTCTTGCGAGCCTCTTGGGCCGTCTTGGGGCCTCTCTAGGCTCGGGGGCTCCGAGAAGTCCTCCATGGAGGCTTGGAGACATCCCCCATGAAGGCTCCAAGAGATTCCAATGATGATCCCAAGAGCGCCCCGGGCATTATGTACCAACCGAGGGCCCGGCGGTACGCAATCGCCGCGGCACTCCTTGGGCATTCTGGAAATCTCCTGGGACCGTCTTCCCGCCTTTTCAGGCCCATCCCGGGGCCTTTTTGGGGGACCTCCGCAGTCTCTGCGGGCCTCGAAAGTTCTCCCGTGGAGGCTCCAAGAGAGGCCCAAGATGGCCCCAAGAGGGCCCCGAAGGTTATGTACCAACCGAAGGCCCAATGGTACATAATTGCGGTGGCCCTCCTTGGGCCTTCTTGGGCCGCTCGGAGGTCTCTGGAGGCCTCCCGCTCCCGCTCTTGGGCTCATCTTGGGCCTGTTCTGGGGTGGTCTGGAGCTGTCCTGGGCGCCTCTTCGGCAGTCTTGGAGCCTTCTTGGCCCGTTTTGGGGCCGTCTTGGGGGCATCTTCGGCGGTCTTGGGGCGGTCGTGGGGGCCTTTTCGGCCGTCTTGGAGCGTTGGAAGCATGAAATGGTGAGAATGCCACAAACCTAGAACAAAAACATTTGAACATTAACACTTGTAGGTTCTATGGGCGCTCTCGGGGGGCCTGTCGGAGCTCTCTTGAGGTCTCTTGGAAGCTTTCTGGGAGCCTGGAGAGCCGTCCGAAGGCTACCTTGGGTTGCTCGGGAGCGTCTTGGGCTGTTCTTGTACGTTCTGGGGGCTTCTTGGGACCGTCTTGGGCTGTTCTCGGGCGTTTGGGGGGCACCCCAAGAGGCCGGGCGGCGCGACACTGGGAGCGTTCCGCAGATGTCACGGAGAGGTGTGGGACCTTCGGGGCGGGGGGGTATTGGTTTGGCCTTCTTGACCCGTCTTGGCCAAGACCCGGGGCCGTCTTGGAAGCCTCTTCGGCGGTCTTGGGGCGGTATTGGAGCGTTGGAAACATGAAATGGTGAGAAGGCCAAACAACTAGAAAACAACACATGACAATTAACGATTTTAGGTTCTCCAGGCGCTCTCGGGAGGCCTCTCGGAGCTCTCTTGAGGTCTCTTGGAGGCCTCCTGGGAGCCTGAAGAGCTGGCCGAAGGCTATCTTGGGTTGCTTTGGAGCGTCTTGGGCTGTTCTTTTACGTTCTGGGGGCTTCTTGGGGTCGTCTTGGGCTGTCCTTGGGCGTTTGGGGTGCTCCCCGGGAGGCCGGGCGGCGCTGTACTGGGAGCTGTCCGCAGATGTTCTGGGGAGGTGTGGCACGTTGATTATAAACATTTACATATACATACGCACACACACACACCTCCCTGACCAAGTTGTGGCATCCCTGGCCAAGTCGTGAGAGTTGGACGACCCATCCACGTCCCCAACTTGAGGAACCAACACGGACCCTAGCATGAGACTCTGTTCTGGTGGCGCCTCCAGCACCGCCCCATGGAGCGTTCGGCGCGCCAGGGAGGGGAACGCTCCCGAACCCCCGGCACACGTGTGGCCGCGGGTGTCGGTCGGGTCGGTCGGCCCCCTGCGTCCTCTCACAGCGCGCGGCCGACCTCGGCCCCCTTCGGGTCAGGATCTGGGCCTGGGGTGGCCGCTCGGGACGACACGGCCACGCCCAGAATGCTTTCGGCGAGGCACAGCTGGCGGTAAGCATCCCGAGGCCGGAAAGCCAACGAGAACCGAAAGAAATGTCCAAGCATCTCGACCCTCAAATTGTCGCACCCGCCTTTCCAAAACCGCCCTGTCCGCCCCAAGCCGCAGAGGCCGATTGGTCGTTGCTCAATAAGGGGCGATGAGCTGGGGGAAGAAGAAATGTGCACCTTTCGTGCCCCTTTTGGGGCCTCTGGGGGTGCGATCCGGGAAAGCCGTAAAACCGCTTGATCTGGGATAACTCTTGCTCCGAGAAAGAAATGGGCAACGTCTACATGGGGCGCGATGAGATCCGGGACAGCTTGGGTCGATTGCAAGCCAGGGCAACGCCGGCGCGAAAGCGGGAAGCCCGAAACAAGAGTTATCCCTGACATCTGCCCTGACAGCTCAGGATCACGGTCGGGAGCTTTTGCTTAGCGCGTCGCCCCGACGGCCCCGATGAAACGCTGTGCTTTGCAAGCGGGTTGCGCGTCACTCCGCTCCGCGGGGCGGGAGGCTCGGGAACGCTCGGGACGCCGGAGCCTGGGGGCCGGAAATTGGATAGAGTGTCGCACCGAAGCGCACCCATGACCAACCTCTGCCCTGATGGCTCGGGAGTTTGTCGACCACCCTCCCCTCCTCCCCGTCCGCCCCAGGACGCAGAGGCCGACGACAGCGGCGGTCCTCCGGGCTGAGGTGATGCTGCTGCGCCGGCGGGCGTTCCGCCGGGGGCGGCGGAGGGGCGCTGGGCGGCACTGGGCTGGCCTCCCCACCCGCCTTTTTCGACGTCCACCGTCGCCCGTCGTCAGTCGCCTGCCCGAGGAGGAGGAGGAGGAGGAGGAGGAGGAGGAGGAGGAGGAGGAGGAGGAGCCCGCGCCACTGAAGAGGCGCACCAGCCCTCCACCACCCAGGCCGCGCTTTCCGAACTGCCCGCGCTCAGAGCTTTGGTGATCAGCACGCCCTGGCCCTCGTAGTCGTCGACAGTGATGCCGCTGCACTCGGAGGAGGAGGAGGAGAAAGAGGAGAAGGAGGAGGATGAGGAGGACAAGGAGAACAAGGACAAGGAGGAGGAGGAGGAGGAGGAGGAGGAGCGTCGAACAAAACCTCTTCGCAGCAAAACTCTGTCGCCGAACTGCTGTGCCGTGGCGAAGAGTGAACTCAGCCGCCATTCGGGCAGAGGGAGCCGTTTCGATATGATCGCCGGGCGAATTATGTGTATATGTGCTTCTCTCTCTATATATGTTGCTATGTCTTATGCGATATAAGTAGTAAGCTCTCACGACACGCTTGAAATGATCAGGTGTGCCGTCTTTGAAAGCGAGACGAACGAGGGGGGTGAGAGGGACGCGGATGACGAGGAGGAGGACGAGGAGGAGGAGGCTGCTCGCGCCCGGGTCTGCGTATGAAGACAGGAAGATGAGGAAGAGGAGGAGGAGAGGCAGGAGGGGGGGCGTCGAGGCAGGGCGCGGGACTGCCCTCGCCATCCAGGCACCGAGGAGGAGCAGGACCACGTCGGGGTTCGGTCGTGTTCGGACGCGTGCCGACACTCCCAGAGGCTCCTAATCAGGGAGGGCGAGGAGGAAGTGCAGGAGGGGAAGGAGGACAACCCTTCCTGTCCATCGTCCTCCTCGGCCACCACATCCTGATCCTCCTCCTCCTCGACCTTCTCGATCACCTCCTGGTCATCCTGAACCTCCTGGTCACCGGCACCACAGCGCCCGTGCGCATCACAGCAAGCAACACAGTGCGCAACACGGTATTCACAGCCGCAGCCACGTGCACCACATCGCCTATGTGCTGCGCAGAGTATAAACATCGTGCACCGCATTGTTGTTGTTTCCCATACACCCTCCTTCGAACATTACTATGTGCTGGCGTTCGCTCGAGCGCGGGACGGCGACGAAGACGACGACGACGACGAGACGACGGCGACGACCACGAGGTCGGGGACGACGACGACGAGGACGAGGACGACGAAAAGGAGGACGAGGACGACGACGACGAAGATGACGACGGCCGCCTCTGAACGCCTCCAGAGGTCTCCAGAGGCCTAAGGAGGCTTCTGGAGACCTCTGGAAGAGTCTGGAGGCCCTTCGAGGCCCTCTACAACGACGACCACGACGACGACGACGACGACGAGGACGAGGACGACGACGAGGACGACGAGGCTGAGGAGGACGAGGACGACGATGACACGGGGACGAATCGAGGACGGGGACGAGGACGAGGACGACGATGGCGACGAGGACGAAGGCGAAGACGAGGACGACGACGAGAACGACGATGACGACGAGGACGCGGAGGAAGTTGGGGACGGGAACGACGACGACGACGGCCGCCTCTGAAGGTCTCTGGACGTCTCTGGAAGCCTAAGGAGGTCTCTGGAGACCTCTGGAGGCCAGTCGAGGCCCTCTACGACGACGACGAAGACGACAAGGACGAGAACGAGGAAGAAGAAGGACGACGACGACGACGAAGAGGACGACGACGACGACGACGACGAGACGACGACGACGACCACGACGACGACGATGAGGACGACGACTACGACGACGACGATGACGACGACGACGACGTCGGCGGCGACCGCGACGACGACGACGACGACGACGACGACGACGGCCGCCTCTGAAGGTTTCTGGAGGTCTCTGGAGGCCTAAGGACTCCGGAGACGTCTGGGGGCGCCTGGAGGCCCCTCGGGGCCCTCGGCGAAACGTCGACGACGACGACGACTAAGACCACGACGACAGGGACGAGGATGACGATGAGAACGTGGACGAGGATGAGGAAGAGGACGACGACGACACCAACGAGGACAAGGACAGGGGCGGCGGGGACGAGGACGACGATGACGAGTAAAACGACGACTACGACGACGACGACGACGATGACGACGGCAACAACGACGACGACGACGTTGACGAGGACGAGGACGGGAACGAGGACGACGACGACGACGACGACGACGACGACGACGACGACGACGAGGACGAGGACGAGGACGACGGCCGCCTCTGAAAGTCTCTGGAGGTCTCCGGAGGCCTCAGGAGATCTCCCGAGACCCGTGGAAGCGTCCGCCGGCCTTCCGAGGCCATGAGGCACGACGACGAACGCTAGCACTCTGCAAGCACCACACTTGCCTGCGAACACTTTAACGGCAGTGGCGGATGCGCACAACCGGGGGGTACGTTATCGGGGAGGGGACGGGGGGCACAAAGGTATCACGCGCATTGTGGCCCGGCGTGTTTAAAAAGGACGCTCAAGATGAGGCCGCAAAAGATTGTACTGGTCTAAGTTGTCTTCTCCGTCCTAGGGACCACTGGCATTTCCATTCCATAACACTTCCTCCTCCTTCTCATCACCCTCCTTCCAACTCCTCCTACTCCCCCTTTTCCTCCTCCTCCTCCTCCTCCTGCTCCTTCTCCTCCTCCTCCTCCTCCACCCTTTCCTCTCCTGATGCACATGGAGGACAGACATCGTCAAACCCACAGAGTTTATCACGACAGCCAGCTACTATCGAAGGACCCCCCCCAAGACACCGCCACTCGGTGGGAAGAAGCGAATTCACGGTACTATGGATTCCAAGTCAGCTCGGGCTTCATGGCTTCAGTATCAGATAGTGCAGGAGTTGTGGACGGCTGGTGCCAGGAAGAATCTCGTAATCCGGCACGCGCTGAAACAGATCTCTGGGCTTTGCGATCGGGGAGCAGGTTCGCAGAAGGGATAAACATAGTGTTATCGTTCTCTTCGTGAACTCCCACCTCGACGGGGAAGCAGTGTTCGATGGGCTATATCCAGAACGGCTGATATTGCGTACTCAGCTGCTGACGCAGTTGCTGGACTTGCAGGCGAAAGGTCGACAATCGATCAAGTATTACCTCTACGCATACACAGCCGTGACCAAAGTTGCTTCAATTTGTTATGATGAAGGTCTCTCCCATCCCTCTCATGATTCCTAACATGACATGATGCTGGGATCATTCGGCGGAATAGTTTTCGATCCCGGAGACGTTAATACCTCTGCTGCCCCAAAACGGGATCGGAAACTACTCCGCGCCAAACCATATAAATGATCGAGCGGGGCGCGAGTGCGCGCGGAGTACTGTTAGTGAAACTACTCCGAACTACTCCGCACGAGCGCGTCATTTCAAAAGACAAATTGAAAGAAACTTTCGCCACGGCGATGTATTTCACCATGACAGGAAAGCTGGTGTGGTCAGACATCGTATGCTGAGAGCAATGCCCGACGCACTGGAAAAGAGAAGGATCTCGGCCTAGGCGGCCGGCGTTCCGACCAGCACGAGACCCCTGCTCAGCCTCCAGGGCCTATATGCAACCTTCAGTTTCCAGCGACTGCCATGGTCTGTCTGAGAACGGCAGGAGCTGCATGCGTTGTAGGGGGGTCTGCTATTTTTGACGGCGTCGTCCCCTGGCGTCGAAGTCTGTGCTGAAGTCTACGCGCGGTTGGGGGAATACCTATTTTTCTCTTCCTGACGGGCGCTCGTCTACATCTAGCGGGTGGGTGGGTTCATTCCAGTCGCAGTCTGCAATGCCATATGGGTCTGAACGTTTGGGCTTGCATTTCTTGTGGTAGTTATGGAGCCACGGCTTTATCAACGCTCCAGGACGCATGCCCTAATGTCAGAGCTCCTCATAGACAGGAGCACGAGCACCTGCGAAGAATCCGAGCGGGCGTTTGGCCTGAAGCTCTCAATCAGACTGAGAAATCGTCCAGAGGCATGCTATAGTGCGGGGCCAGTGGCCCACTCCGCGCTCGAAGGGAGAGAGGGAGAGAGAGAGAGAGAGAGAAACGAAAAAAGATAACGAAAGCAATAAAGAAAGAGAGACCCTCCTCCTTCCACCTCCTCCTCCTCCTCCTCTTCCTCCTCCTCCTCCTCCTCCTCCTCCTCCCTCCTCCTCCTCCTCCTCCTCGTCCTCCTCCTCCTCCTCCTCCTCCTCCTCCGGTCCAATTAGACAAGAGACGGTAAGAGAAACGCCACAAGAAAGTGTTCCTTCACGCCCGTGTCCGCAACACCAGAGGACATCAGGACGATAACAGAGCCAACGTTAGCATTCAAAGCCCGCCACCCTCCGACACGAGGGTTCCCCTATCGCATAAGATGTCTCTTCCCCCGGCTCGAACGGCCCCACAGCGGGATACCACGGGTAACACGCCCCCACGATGGCACCAAAGCCGTCAAAAAACTGCAAACACCTAGAAGCCCCATGAAAAAACATTAACAATTTATCGACAACTACACAGCTCCCGACGCCGTAGCTCCACACTGCAAACGACCACTCGGACAGGCGACCACGGTGCGACATTATGGGCCGGCGGAATGAGCGAAGCGATTAAATAAAGAAAGAGAGAGAGAGAGAGAAAGGAAGAGGGAGAGAGGGAGAGAAGGAGCGGCCAGCGCCGCGAGCCCCGCGCGTGCGCCCGCCACGGCGCCGCGGCCCCCGCCTGCTTCTCTTTCTCTCTTTCTCTCTCTCTCTCTCTCTCTCTCTCTCTCTCTCTCGGCCAGCCACGCCACGCTCGCTCTCTCAGTGATTGCCTCAGACCAGCTGGGCCACTGAGCCACTGCAACGTCCAGGTTCACAGAAGCAGCACTTGCACAAAACGGGCCGCACCTCGAACATCGACGGGTCGAAGTGCCTCCTCATCTCATCTCATCTCATCGCCTCTCCTCTCCTTTCCTCTCCTCTCATCTCATCAGCTCCTTTTCCTCCTCCTCCTCCTCCTCCTCATACCTCGTCGCCTGCTT